TATATATATATATTAAGAAGCTTGTAGAACATTTCCTATATATAGGAAATGTTCTACAAGCTTCTTAGTGTGTATTTGTACGTGTGTGTATGCTCGATGTTTGTCTCTATGTGGCTAGGGGTGTGAGTTTTTGCCTATTTATGCGTATTTGTGGGTGGGGATATGTTTGTAAATAAAGTTCGTCTTTATTTCCCGTTAGCACAGAGGAAATATAAGAAGGAAAAGAAGAGAAAAGGGCAACAATTGGATATGTGCTGTGTATATGCACCTGATGTGTTGTATGCAGTGCTGCCTGTTCCCGTGTTGCTCTTCCCTGCACCTCTCATTTCCTTCTTTAGTTGGCTACTCCCATTTACACGTTCTTATTCTTTTTTAAAAGTAAGAAAGAAGTAGAGGCTGCTACCATCCTTTTTTGCACCTCTCTTTCCCTCTTCCCTCCCTGTATAACGCACACACTTTTATTACTCTTGTAGTAAGGAAGGAATAGGAGGAACTCTTTTTTTCTTGTATTTGTTGTATTCTTTTTATACAGACTATGTGCTGTGATTTTCTTCTTCTTACTTTGCAGGTCTCTGTGCAGATGTCAGTTATCTACGGTTGCTTAACTGTTGGGCTGCCTCTCGCTGTTGGCATTTTCCCCCCTTTGGCTGAGCTGCCAGTAGATAAATTAGAGACACAATTTAGGGGATTAACGGATAACAAAGGAAATAAAATAACGCATGTCTTCTTCAACAGGGGGGTCTAGGTGACGATACACTATACCTCGCCGCTTACTTCTTCAAGGCTTGCCGGAGTCGTCTCTGTGCATGGCTTCGTAGCGGATGCCTTGTCGGTTTATATACAGCTTACTGATTTCCAGACATCGCTACTCCCGTATATTCCCATTTCTAGGGATATGGCGGCGTCGTCGTTTCACGCACAGTCCAACGGGACATTTTCGTTGTTGCGTGCTCGAAACAGGTAGCCATTGCAGCAGCAGCAACAGCTGAAGCTGCTGCATGCGACAGACAGGTATATTTCGGTTTTGTCGCGTTCTCCACAGTTCGTGGGTAGTTCTGGTCACTACTGCAGTTTTTGCATTTCTGCAAAGATGCGTCCGGGTTCGCTGGACCACCATACAGGTGTAATATGAGGCGAGAGGTCGCTGAGCTCTCGCGATGCTGCTGTAGATAGGTACGTGGAAGATCTTCACAACACAGGCAACAATTCTGTAACCAAAGAGTGCATCCTTCCTGCCTGAAAAACGTGGGCAGGCAAATAGGCAGTTGCAGCAGCTTTTTTCAACTTCATTTTTCAGTAAGAATTACACAGGTGATGAGGCATTTGTTGGTATTGCCTCGTTGCTTGGCGGATTTCGCTGGGTGTCGGTTTCGCTGACTACAGAACACATTGGTCATACGCCAAATAGAGCGACATTTTTGTGCCGGTATAAAGTTGACGTGCGGATCTTGCTCGTCTGCATTTGAACTTTGCATACTATCCGGCTGATGTAGGTAGACCAACGAGCTCTATCTTTGCGGAGATTAAGTAGACGTGCTAGTCTAGTATGGAGGGAACCTCGAAAGCATGTGTACGAATGCTCAGCAACTTTCGACCACTTCCAGGCGCCATTCCGAGCATTCTTAATGTATGTATTTTGGATTAGAACGCATTTAATGAAATATTCCCCCGGCTGTTTAGCCTTTTAGTGGTCTTTAGAGTACGTGATACAGCAGTGTCTTATGTGTTTGGCTTTCCCCCCTTCCTGTCTACCTTGATACAGAAAACTGAGTAAAATTGGATTCGAAAAACTGTTGCATGAAATCATAATATTTCTTTTCAATTATACAGCCTCACGGGAATCTCAGAATGGAGAATCGCATGTAAATAACAGCGACACAAGGTTTGTGAAAGGCAATTGGCAAATGGCCATAGAAGAGCGAGGAAAGGGGAGTGATTACACAAAATAATGACTATAAAGAACAGAGATAAAGAGACGAATATAGCGGCAACAACTATGGGTAGGAACGCGGGATATACAGTAAATGTTATTCGGAACGTGAGACGAAGGGAACCATTCATACTTATTTTAACCGCAAATATTTTTAGGATATAATGTAATGCGGCATTTTTGTGTAAACCTTTTGTGTCCTTTCATTCTGTTGATCCGTTTGTCTGGTCTCAAAGGTGTTTGAAAGTTAACGGGAAAATAATGGAACAGAACGGTGTGCGGAGGAGGTTGCAGACAGGCCAGACCAGCCGTAATGGGCACGATAGTTGATCTCTATACATCGACTGAAACACATGTGAACAAAGTCAGAAAATAAGCTGCTAATGATACAATACACAAGTTGTAGTGTGATATATTCCATAGTTTCCTGGTCTTGTCCGCCTGCTTGTGCTAGTCATTCATTTCGCTGCCTCGGACCATCAGCAGGCAGGCGGGAGGAGGGCACAGCGAAGCAGTGTGTCTGGCGGTGTCTTTGGTTTGTGTGAGAGTTGTTTTAAAATTTAATTAAAAAAGCTTAATCCTATTTATCAAGCGTATCGTGGGGTCCTCCATCATATTCATCATTCACTCTTTTTCCCCTGATGCATCATGGGGTCTCGTTTCCACCCGCCGGTCACGACGGACCACCACGGTAGCCCCCACGCGGGCCTGATGCAAGACATAGGACAGCCTTATAGTTCGTCTTTCGATGAAGACACAGACGAAGAAATATTTGACAGACCCATGCATCAATACGACGCATTCTCTGGTGAACCGCCCCTTCAAGTGCGCCCCGCAGTAGCAGCAGAAGCCGGCCCCTGCAGGGTCAACTATTATGCCTCCCCTAATTTGGGTGAGATTAGCACTAGAATTAATTACAATGTGGCCTCCTCCCCTAGTAATACAGCAGCTAGGGAGGTGGCGGTGCCTCACATGACTCCGTCTTCCAACACACCTAGGCTCGCCGAAACTCCGGCACGGGTTAGAGGGCCCTCCTCCCCCACATTCTTTGGCGAAAGGAAGGGAGAAAATGACGACCATCCAGTTAAATCCCGTCTTGAAGAAGTTCGCCCTAATGTAGATGTTTATTCTTCACACGGAAGGGAAACGCACGATTCCACAGGTCCTTCATTCGTCGCCGTAGACATGGGCGGAAAGAAGAAGCCACGCAGAGTTGAACATCAGATACGGAGTAGTGACGGTGCAGTTAATGCCGTATTAGGAGACTACATTGGGAGGAATAAGCAAAACTGGCCAAAGGCGTATGGCGAGAACCGACCAGACGCGAAGCACGTTGCGGAGGAAGCATTTTCAAAAGTGAAGTTCTGGAGAGAAGTTTTCTCGGGACTCACTGGAATGCACGGGGTGTATGTACTGGCGAACTTCGCATTCGACAATCCGGCCGGAGGCATCTGTTCACTTTTTTGTTTCCTATGTTCGGCATTTGCCCAAGTTGATCGAAGAGCTCCTTCGTACTTCTTGACAGCACTGCTCTCTTTTTGTTTCGGAGTTGTTGTCGCCGTTTCTCTTGGAACTCCCGTTCGTGGTTTCGAAATCTTTTCCACAAATCTTCTCTTGAGACGGATATGCATCACTCAGGCATGCTTACTGCTACTGGCCACACCGGTTGCGATCCTCGTCGCCTTACGGATCATCGAACTCCACAGTTTCCTACGAGAACCTGGCGTTTTAGTCCCCGTAGACTGCATTGAGCAGATAACGGAAGACGTGCCAAAGAACGCACAAGACAGCTATTCAAATTCTTCAGAACAGCGCACAAACAATGATCTTCACACACGCAGGGATGTCACTGAGTGCGGCAGCCAAGACGATGAGAACTCGTCGTATGTGGGCAACCAAGCCGCCAATTAACAGATGTATACAGAGAGCTTTTGTACATTCTGGTGTGCTTTATTTTTTGTTCGTACTCCAACTCCCAATTTGTTTTTTTCTTTGAACATTAGTACTTGCCAACTCTCTTCCAATGAGTTCGTCTAGTTACAAACGATAGGCGCCAACCACAAAGACACACCAGCGGGCTGCCTACCACCGTCCCACTGTATTAGGGTTTAGGGTAGGGTTAGGGTTAGGGTTTAGGGTTAGGGTTAGGGTAGTATGCTTCCAAACCGCCTATAGTGCTTCCATCGGGTTACTAGACTTGTTGAACAAGTAACTAACAGCCTCTCGTAGACTGTTGTAAGAGGCCCTAGTAAATAATGTCCACAATGTGGCAAGGCGGTGGTGGCTTTATTAATCATAACTAACGGAGAGTAGACGCCTATAAGCCCCTCTGAAGACTAACAAATCCCATATAAAGAAACTGGATATGAACACCTACGGTGTAAACTGTTATTTTACTTGAACTACCGATAGCTATTCAGTAAATAGAATAAAGTAGGAATGATTCCAACGGTGTGTGTACTTGAATATGACGGAAGTATAGGGCCACAGTTGTGGTTGAATATCTGCGTGCGTTCGCTGTGTAGAAAAAGTTTTGACTTGGGGTAAGAAAAGCTTCCCTCCCCGTGATGACTGTTCAGTTGCAGCAAAAGACGCCTCCAATGGCGCCCTACGGAGAGACCGACGAAGCTATGAGGTGCAAGATGAATAAATACATTTTATGGTATAGATGGTAGAAGCATCGATCCACCCACCTTGTGTCTTCCTTACACACACATATATATATATATATAAATGTATATGTAAGATGGTGAGTAGTTCACTGCAGGGAGCCGAGATACTCAGCAACTCCCTTTGCGGATGGTTTCATGGCTTTTTCTCCCTTTTGCCAGTTGGCAGGGCATACGTCTCCGTACTTTTCGTGGTGTTGTAGTGCATCAACGACACGTAGAGCTTCTGGTACAGATCGTCCAATTGCAAGACTGTTGATAAGAGCATGCTGAACGATACCGTTCTTATCAATAAGGAAGAGTCCTCTTAGAGCCATACCATCAGGAAGGAGTACACCATAAGCTGATGCAAGTTCTTTCTTGACGTCAGCAAGAAGAGGAATCTTAACAGGTCCAATACCTCCATCCTTAAGATCTTGTTGCCTCCATGCATGATGTGTGAATTTTGAGTCAATAGAACAGCCTAAGACCTGAACATCTCTTGCCTCGAAGTCTGCTACTGCCTTACTGAATGCAACAATCTCTGATGGGCAAACAAAGGTAAAATCAAAAGGATAAAAGAATAATAATACATATTTCTTACCAGCAAAACGGCTAAGAGAAATTGTATCAAATTCCCCATTAGGCAATACAGCCTCACACGTAAAATCAGGAGCTTTCTGCCCTACTAGGGAAGTAGCCATTTTCTCTCTCTCTCCTTTCTTAATAATAATAATAATAATAAGGAAGGAATTATATATATTATTTATTTATATTCCTTTATAGTACTAAAAAACAAAACAATTATATATACAGACACACATCTACTCTGTCTTATCTGCGACGGAGAGAGGAGGAGAGGAGGGGGGTAGGTATATATATAGGTAGCTGCTGCTCCTCCTGTTGCTGCTGTGCCCCTGCAGCAGCAGCCTCTCTCTCCTCTGCTGCAGAAGCGAAAGCAGCAGCAGCAGCAGCAGCAACCAATAAACATCATCATCTATCAGGTAATTTATATCTATTTATTTTTTAATTAATAAATATAATTAAAATTAAATAAAAAATAAATATTTAATTTATTAACATTTATTCAATTATTCATCAACATGCATGCAGCAGTAGTTGTTATACAACAGGTTATGGTGGTGAATAATAAATAAATGTGTATAATTTTTATTTATTATATATATATATTATTTATTTATCTAATTTATTTATTTATTTATTTATTTTTATTTATTTATTTATTTTATTTATTTTATTTAAATTATATTTTCTTCTTTTTTTCGTCTCTTTATGGTGTGTGGGCTCTTCTCTCTTCGCCAGCAGCACACTATCCTTATTAACCCATACACATATATATATTATTCTTTTTTCTTATATATATATATATATA